TAGAGTGGAGGTGAGGCAGCCACAAGGCAGGGTGGGCAGGAGCCACCAGGATGGGGAAGAGGCAAGGAACACGTTCTCCCTGAGAATCTCAGTAGGGAGTGCGGCCCTGTAGACACCTTGATTTTTAATGGTCTGATTTCGGACTTCTGGTTCCCAGAACTGTGGGAAAAGGAATTTCTATTGTTTTAAGCCACCAAATTTGCAACAATCTGTTATTACTGCAGCCCCAGGAAATTAATTTAGGTGCCCACTTGTCTCAACTGCCTATCTTATGATCTGTGGTGTAGGTGATGCCTAGATCAAAGGGTCCTTGACCTCTCTCCTTCCTGGCAATTAATTACCAAGCTGAGCAGAAACTTTTCTTACATTACCAGAAAGTTATACTTGAGAAACTGGAGTTTGAGGGAACACAGAAACAAGGATAATATACTTAACTAGTATTCACTCTGTAAGTTTCTGGTATTTTTTTTAAGATTTTATTTATTTATTTGAGACAGATGGTGAGAGAGAGCAGGAGCAGGGAGAGGGAGAAGCAGGCTCCCTGTTGAGCAGGGAGCCCAACATCAGCTCCATCCCAGGACTCTGGAATCATGACCTGAGCTGAAGGTAGATGCTTAACTGACTGAGCCACCCAGGCATCTCATTCTTGGTATGTTTTCATCTTTGTCCTAAGTCCTGGAATAAAAATAAGTCCTGAATAAGACAGGATCCTTACCCTTGAGGAGGTTGATGTGGGGGGGTTAGACATACACACATACAATGAAATTAAAAATATGTGGAAAATGCAGTAATGATCATGTGCACGGAGTATTAGGAACACACTGAAAAGTGCACAGACTACGGGATGCATCTGCATGAGGACACAGGGGAAGGGAGCTAGAAAAAGTTTCCTGGCAAAGGCATGCCTCTGAACTGACACATAAAGGAGGGAGTAATAAAGCAGGCCAAAGGGGTAAACTTTGATCATTTTCCCCCCCATGGATTTCATACTCTGAAAGAAACTGTCTACCTTAGACAGTGTTTATTAAGTAACAAATAACAGATCGAAAACATCTCTAACTGCCAAACAGGTTATAATCAGCATAGGGTGGTCACTACTCTTTTCCTATTATTTAAGCCAACAGCAAAGGTATTTGTTGTTATTGATTTTTTTTCCTGTGAAGTCTTTTCCTGGCAAAAATGTAATTTGTTTCTTTCATTATAATTTTTGAAATGCTGATAGAACACCAGAACTCTCTCCTCATTTCTTTCAAGAACAGGCTTTCCTATCTTGATAAAGACAGTAGCTCCTTGCACTAACCCATCTGGCCTAGAGAAAGTGATATTGAAAAGAACCTCATTAATGAGAGTTCCTGCATAACAGGGCAATAGCTTGCAGGATCGTTTCCTTGTAAGGCAAAGTACAGAGTCAGATCCTGGGCCCCTTCTACAGAACTCCTACAAGATAATAGGTATCAATGCAATAATCAACATGTGTATAGCATTCTATCATTCTACAAAAGGATTTCACAAAAGTATCTGATTATGGGTTGTTAGAACTGAAAGCAAATCCTGTTTTGCCATCCCAAGCAAGTTTCTCTTCTTTTTTTATTTTTTTAGTCTTTATTGTATTGTTAACATTTTCCAGCTTTATTGAGATCTAATTGACATATAACACTGTGTAAGCTTAAAGTATTGATTATGTTGATTTGCTGTTGAATATGTTGATTTGATACTTATCTATTGTGGCATGATTACCATTGTAGCTTAGCTAACACCTCCATCACCTCATATAGCTATCCTTTCTTTTCTGTGGTGAGAAAATTTAAGATCTACTCTCTTAAACACTTACAAATAGTATGTATTACAATATCGTTATTTATAATCATTGTGCTGTATATTTCATCTCCAGAACTTATTCATCATATAAGTGGAAGTTTGTACCCTTTAACCAACATCTGCCCATTTCCCCAACCTTCTCAGGTGAGTTCAATCTCTTTCAGTTTCAGTTTCTCTATCTCTAAAGTAGGGGCACTGACTTCCACTGGGAGAGCTATCAAATGAATTAAGTGAGATTTTAAGTATGAAGTACCAAGCACAGTGGCTGACAAGTAGTAGGTACATGGTAAGAGCTAGATCCATTATTTTTGTCTTTTTTTCCCCTAGAAGTCGCTGAACTTTAAAAAAAAATTATCTTTGACCATCAATAAGGTGAAAAGACAACCTATGGAGCAGGAAAAATATTTGCAAACCATCCATCTGAAAAATATACAAAGCACTCATACAACTCAATAGCAAAAAATAAAAACAAAACCAAAACAAACAAAAAACCCAAGCAATTAAAAAATGGGCAAAGGGCCTGAATAGACCTTTCTCCAAAGAAGATACATGAAAGACCAACATGTATATGAAAAGATGCTCAACATCACTCGTCATTAGGGAAATGCAAATTAAAATCACAATGAATATCATCCCATACCTATTAGAATGGCCATCAACAAAAGACAAGACAAGGCAAGGATGTGAAGAAAAGGGAATCTTTGTGCACCGTTGGTGGGATTGTAAATTGGTGTAGCAATTATGGAAGAAGTATAGAGGATCCTCAAAAAAATTAAAGATAGGACTACTATATGATCCAGCAATTCCACTTTTGGAAATATATCCAAAGAAAATGAAAACACTAACTGGAAACAATATCTGCACCCTCATGTTAATAGCAACATTATTTACACTAGCCAAGACATGGAAAGAACCTACATGTGCCCTGATGGGATATTATTCAGCCATAAAGAAACGAAGAAATACTACCACTTGTGACAACATGGATGGAACTTGAGGGCATTATGCTACATGAAATAAGTCAGACAGAGAAAGACAAATACTGTATGATCTCACTTATCAGTGGAATACAAAACTCCCACAAAAACAAAAAACAAACAAAAAAAACAACTCATAGAAAAAGAGCTCCGACTTGTGGTTACCAGAGATAGAGGATGGGAGGAAGGGGTATTGAAGGAAGATGGTCAAAGGTACAAACTTCCAGTGATAAGATAAATACTAGAGATATAGTACAACATAATGACCATAGCTACCATTGCTGTATGATATGCAGGAGTTAAGAGAGTAAATCCTAAGAGTTCTCATCCCAAGAAATTTTTTTCCTTTTTATTATATCTATATGGGAAGATGAATGTTAGCCGATCCTATTGTGGTAATCATTTCACAATACATATAAATCAAACCATCATATTGTATGCCTTAAACTTATACTGTGATGCGTGCCAATAATTTCTTAATAAAACTGGAAAAAAAACTAGATCAATTAAGTCAAGAAAAAATGTCTTTTGTTTTACTATTTTTCCATTGCTTCATTCCTCTCAAATTTTGGCTAGAACCAAACCGTTTTGCTGGACCCTTTTTACCTCCCATCTATTGAACTTATGGCTCCTCAGATGGTTACTTAGAGGTGTAATGTGAGGAGTACCAGGGTGTCCCAGAATTTGACCTTCCCCAGTGGTGACTTCTTGGGTTCCCTGTGTGGTATTTTTTTGGGTCCTCTAGGTATCACATGGGAATTATGAAGAACAGAGTGTTATTTATAAATAATATGCTTCCTAAACCCAGAAAGATGTAGAGCAGTTTTCAGGATTTGATCATGCATGAAACAGGAAAGTCCTTTATCACAGAGAAATGACAGACTACTAGAAAGTGAACTGCATGAAATGAAACCCACACTTGATATGGATTAATTCGTTTCGAATGTAGGATTGCTGTCATTAATCAGTCCATGAAATTAATTGCTGTAGTAAGAGAAGATCTTATATTTTAGTTTTAATTACATATTATGACGTGTTGTAAAGTGGATTTTGTTTAAAAAAAAAGCTTGAAAGCCATGAGATTAGGCTACTAGTGGTTTACCTTTTCTGCCACTTGTTAGTTGTTTAAAGTTTGGAAAATTCCTGATTTCATAAACTTTTGTTGAACACTTACTTTGCATCAGACATTCTTCTATATGAATGATTTCCCCCCCTCTTTCCTAATACTGATAATTTGCGGTGTGGGATAGGTAGACTGTGTCAATCCCATATTCTTCTCACCCTTCGCCAGGCCTCTAGTACAAGTTTGAGGGGATTCCTATTACTAAACAGATTCTGATACTCGGTAATAAAACGCACTTTTCGGAACAGTGAATCTGAGCTTCCCTAAAACCCCCTGAGAATTACGTCAGCTTTAACCATTATACCGCTGGCCTCTTTTTATTCAGAATTTTCTTCAAAGCTTTGCATGAATGTGGGTTGGCGTGGGGTGAGGGACTGAGAAGAGGGAGGTAGAGGGAAGCTTTAGGTAAGGGGGTGTGAGGAGGCGCTTGTTGGGGGTGGGATGAGTTGCTGAGGATGGGCGGGAGAAGGCGGACGCTCGTACACAAAAGGCTATTTCCGGCTCAAATTTCCTTACGGAGGCTCTTTGAGTTGAACTTTTTTGGGGGAAAACGACCCGTGCCAAAGAACTAGGTGTGTGCGAGTGTACGAGGGTGCGGCGGGGTTCCCCACTAGGGCATGGGTATCATTCTCCACATCTTTGTCGGTCTCTGCGAGCCGCGCCGGCCGGGCTGAGGCTGCGGGGAACGCCTCCCGGTTTCCAGCCGGGACATCCTGAACGACAGCAGCCGCAACAACAGGCTCGCCCGCAGACAAAGGGGCGGGCGCGGCGGGGCAGACTCGCGCAACCGGGCGACGGGGCCGGGGAGCAAGCCCTCCGAGCGCCAGGCCGGGGCCGCCGAAGGCGCAGCAGACCCAGCGTGGGCCGCAGCCGCGGCGCCCGGAAGACCCGGCTCGGGGAGGCAGACCCCGCCCGGGCTGGCTCGGCGCCGGCGTCCGGGCTTCTACTCAGTCTTTGACCCTCCGTCCCCACCCGCCCCCCCCTTCCCCCTCGCAGACCGCACAACTGTAACCGCTGCCCCGGTCGCCGCCGCTCCTTCTCGAGCCGGCCGGCGGAGAGCGCAGCGCGGCAGGGCCGGCAGCATGGCTGTGTCCTGGAGGAACTGGCTGGCCAACGAAGGGGTTAAACACCTCTGCCTGGTAGGATGGCGGGCAAGGCTCTCCCTGCGTTTTGTCTCTCGTGCAGCGACTTTGATTCATTCTCTGAGCGTGCGCGGGTGGGGAGCTGGAGACGTTTTGCCTCTAATTCAAACATTCTCAACTAACAAAACTTTCCGCTGTTCATGCCTGGAGATAATAACGATTCCCCCATCCCACCCCCGCTCCAAATGCATGGGAACTTTGCTGCACACTGATGGGAGAGCGGATATGGAGGGAGGAAGAAGAGATCACTTGGAGTGAACACAACTTTTTCTTAACCTTTTAAACATCTTCCCCCCTTTGCTCTTTTCCCAGATTGCTTTTGTTTGGTGTTGCATTTTAACAACATGCAATACTCGGGACGTGGTGATGTCACTAATTTCTTAGGCTCATTTTGTACTGCAGGGGATGTCTGCCGATCATTTAGGAGACGTCTTTGCAAACCAAATGCTTAATCTCAGGTGCAGGGACTGAGTGAGGTCAGACTTGTTTTGCTCTGAGTGGTTTTCAGCTTGCTGGTTAATTGAAAATGCTTTCTGCAATTACTAATCCAGCTTCCACAGAAAGTATTGTGCCCATGAATGTACTTGAGGTTTCCATTCATCAGGTAATGTTTATTTTTAATTTTTGTTTTCTCTCTCTGTATGATTTAGTTTATCTGGCTCTCCCTGAATGTTTTGCTTTTCTGGAAAGCCTTCCTGCTGTATAACCAAGGGCCAGAGTATCACTACCTCCACCAGATGTTAGGGGTAAGTGGGACTTGGGTAACCTGGTAGAATGGGTTTAAGGTAGGCAGGCATTGCTACCAAGTTTGGTCAGTTCTTCCATTTATTAAACCCTGGTGGTTCACTTCAGAAAGATTTGTCATTTTCCAAGGTGGTCAAGTTTCCTTGATGTATCATTTACACTCATGTAGGTTAAAATGACTGACTCTTTTAAGAACCAAAGATACTATGTGCTAAAGTGAAAGGAATGAAGCTGCCAGACCAGGCTAGTAGTGCCTGAGAGAAGTTGCTACCTCTTGTCTGCTGCCAAGTGCCTTGAAGGATCTGCTTCACCAGCAGGACCAACCAATGACAGGCTTTTAGTTTTCACTAATCAAGCCTTCAGCCTGCCCCTAAGCTTATCCAGAGGATTTCTGCACTGTTTCCTTTTACTACCAGTTCTCACAAAGTATGTGTCTAAGGCAGTTATTCATTTCTAGACATTTCTTAGCTTCTTACTCTAGGTTGATTATGGTTCCAGTGTTCTGGCCTAATACGAGAATGATATTGTGCAGAACTTTGCTCCGATTTATCTCATGTTGATATTTTTCCTTTTCTCTATTCCATGACATTTCTGATCTCATTCTTTCCATTCCCTTCCTACTTGACTCCTTAACAAAAGAGAGAGGCACTGAAGACATCTTACTTTGTATTAGGAGGTAGCATTTTCTGAGCAACCAGCAAAAAGTATAAAGTGTATTGAAAAATTTTAGGGCATCTGAAAAAGATTTTGTCATTCCTTTTCATTGGGGAAGTGAACACATCCTAAGTAGGAGATGCATTGTTTTCTTTTGCATGGTTTAATAATTATTTAAAATTGTGATTAGTTCACATGAATTTTGTGGAACCAACTTTCCATTTATTACTTTACATTTACAGATCTTATTTATCTTTAAACCTCAGCTCCGAGGAGAGTAGTGCTTGGCACATGCTAAGACTGCAATAAATTGTGATTGAATTAATTAGCTGTTTTATTTTATGCAATAAAGTACTATTTTTCATTATCTATTGGTCACACAATTGATATTTTTAAAGTTTAACACCTATTTTTTAAAGAACTTATTTTTTTAGAGCTATTTAAGTTTCACAGTAAAATTGAGAGTAAGGTGTAGAGATTTCCCCCATGCTTCCCTATCCCCCCACATGCATAGTCTCCCCCATTATCAACATCCCCTACCAGTATGATACATAAGTTATGATTGATGAACCTACATTGACACATCATCATCACCCAACACCTGTATTTTTAACTAATGGGTTAAGAAAAATAGTCTCAAAGATGAAACTCATTTTATTGCTAACTTCTAATTAAAATAAATAAATAATTTATTTATTATTTTAGAGAGAGAGAGAGAGAACACACTGGGGAGGCACAGAGGCAGAGTGGGAGGGAGAGAATCTCAAGCAGACTCTGCACTGAGTGCAAGCCTGATGTCCAGCTCAATCCCACAAATGCTGTGATCATGACTTGAGCCAAAATCAGGAGTTGGGTGCTCAACCGACTGAGCCACCCAAGTGCTCCTCATTTTATTGGTAACTCTTAAATCTGAACATTTCTTTTTCTTTTTCATCTAACCAACTTTCCATTTAAGTATCTATCAAACTGTCATGAAACCCATACTTTTTTTCAAATGGGCACATAGAAAGTAAGCCCTTGAACCTGCCCTCAGGTTTCTTACAATCTTGTGGAAAATCGAAAAGTATATGCTTATAATTGAATAAACAAGTTAAGAAAAATTTTCTCTAATAAACATATGAAGGTCTCTGACCTATCTTTTTAATTTTTTTCCCCTAGAAAGTCCCCCTTAGGTGTGAATTATGAACACGAGATTTTTCAGTAGGAAGTATCTGACCTATTATGTAACTATATGAATAACTTGGAGAAAATTCAAAAGAGTTATGATGGCAAGTTTTGCTGTCAAAAATGGCAAATTTTGATAAAGAGATATTTGTATTAATATATGATCTAATAATAGGTAACTTGAAGCCACAAATGAACTTTGGATTTCAGCTCTATGGTATAGTATAAGCTAAAATGATAACTTACTTAAAAATTAATTATGTTGGAAACCAGCAAGTTAATTTTTATGAGCTTGGATGCTGTGTGACAACTTCAAATTTATTTTGGTGACAAGTCAGAGATGATGAAGAGTATACATATACACACATATTACCCAACTAATTAAAACAAATTAAGTATGTTTTGCCTTTCGCCATCTCACTCTAGTGCTTTTGTTTGAATAATATGACAGGCTGATGAGGTTCAATGATGAGGCCGGCAGACCAGCTGGCACATAGACTCAATAAATATTCATCAGATGAATGAAGGAAAAAAAATGACAAAAGGGCTAAATGGAAAACTGTGAGTGAAAAGTGCAAGAAACAGATAAAGAAGAGAGAGGTCATCGTAAATTAGTTTTTATAGAAACCTAAGAATGACCATAGTGAGTTGACCCTTAGGCCATCCTGTCAGAAGTCAACACTGTATGAAAAGTCACTGTGGGGAGGAATGGTTTTTCTCCTTGGCATCCTGCTGAGAAATGAAGGATGACTTCCAAACTTCTTACTTTTCAGTAGTTACCTATATGGTGATTTTCTAGGCATTAATTTATCTAAACCATTTTGGAATATTTTCAGTCTATCTTACTCTACTTTTTAGTGAAACAAGAACTCTGTGGTTTTACTATTTGCTTTATGAAGGAGGACTTAATTTTATTTGTCCTAGGCTTATCGTTCCTAATCTTTTGATGATTATGGTATTACCTCATAGTGTAAGAATTTGCAGACATTTTTCAAGTCGCAAAGAAAATAGAGTATAACAATGGGATATAATTAATTTTAAAATAAATATTGCTGGCTCCCATCTTTTACATGTTTCATACTGATACTTCATTATTATTAATGCCTTAGAGCATCTTAGAGCCTACCAAACACTCACAAGAACAAGGTCCCACTGTGATGAATTTTAGAAAGCCTGAAAAGGACATAATAAATATTCTGATATTACAAGTCTCTCTCTTTTTAAAGATTTATTTATTTTAGAGAGAGGGAGAGAGAGCATGAAAGGGAGGGGTAGGACAGGGAGAGAGAATTTCAAGCAGACTCTGCGTTCAGCCCAGAGCCCCAGGCAGGGCTTGATCTCATGACCCTGTGATCACAACCTGAGCCAAAATCAAGAGTCAGATGCTTAACTGACTGTGCCACGCAGGTGCTCCCATAAGTCTCTTTTGAAGGTGAATTTTAGATTCATAAAAATGGTGGTATTCCTGGAAATGAATTTACTACTGCTTTAAAACACAAATGGAAGGAGTCCCTCCAGTTGATTATTTTGATAATAACATGGAGTATAAAGGTTGCTGTTATTCGTCTTTTAAAAGTAAGGTAGTAACAAAGTTGCAGGAGTATGAGGGGAAGGAAGGGTCTACAGAATATAGTCCATTTACAAGAAGGCATAGATATTGACAAGCAGTTAATTCTTAGTAGTTTGAAATATGTTTTCTACTGAAAACCAACTAGGTGTTCAGCTGTTTATTCCTGCCATATACCAGACACTACAAATATTTGGTTTAAGCTAGGAAACCATTCTTCCCATTTTATACATGGGAAAAGGTGGGCGGAGGAAGCAGATGACTTGTTCAGCATCAGAGCTAGGATGTGATTACAGTTCTGTCTGGCCTTTTTGCCTTTCCTCATGCTACACAGATTTTCAGAACACTTCACTGGCCCATCACTAATAGTTAAGGCCACTGGTTACTATTACTCATCATCAGTGCTGCCCAACAGAAATGTAATATGAGTCATGCAATTCAAAATTTTTGTAGCACATTAAAAAAGTGAAACGCTAGTGGCATTAAATGTAATAATATATTTTATTTAAAATAGTCTATCTAAAGTATTGTATTGGATTGAAGTATTCAACATGTAGTCAATATTTTAGAAAATATCAATGATGTATTCTAGGCTGTTGCCTATTCTTTGAAATATATGGTATGCATTTTATACTTGTGCACATCAGAATTTTCATCAGAAATACTTGACTTGTGTTTAGATTTCATAAAATTTTTACAAATAAAAAAGTGAATTCACATACCCAAGCTGTTCCAAACATATTTAAAATTTTTCTAACAACACAAAGGACTATCAGCTTTAAATTTAAGTTTAAAAAAATTAATAAACCTAAAAATTGAGTTTGTTGGTGGGCCTAGGCACATTTCAAATGCTTAATAGCTGTGTGCAATTAGTGGCTACTGTTTTGGACAGTGTAAGTGTAGACTGGGGGAAGATATTCCTACTTCCATGGTCACTTGCACTTATCATTTTGTTTTTACAGCAAGCAGCTGGCCACCAACCTGCCCGATAAAAAGACATCAGGATATGGGTAGTCCTCTTGCTCTCCCTTTCCAAAACAGTTGATATCGTTTGGGAAGTTACAGGCTCTAGCTATTGGTGTGTAATCATAAAAATATCTCTGACGTCTCCCTAATCATCTGAGCTTTTTGATGGTGGGAACCATTGAGAATGAAGGTAAAATTATTTCATTCTCCGAACTAGTGGATCCATTTTTTATCTATATTTATTTATATTTATAGGATGCTAGTGGATTGTTCTCAGGCCAGAATTAACTATTAAAAAAACTGCATAAGAATTAACAGAAAAGAAGATCTTAACTGATGGAAGATAAAATAATTTTGAGGTTAACGTGCCTTGGTAGGAGTTTTCATCAGGACTGTTCTTTCCCAGACTGGTCTGACCCAGACCTGGAGGCAGCCTGGTCACGGCTGGTTTATGCCTGAGTTAATGTGCTAATCAGACTGTGCACTTCCTAGGAGATGTTTAATTATGACATGCTGTGAGTTTTGGAATCTTAAAATTAAGCTAAGAAGAAAAAAAAAGTCTTTTGAGGGAAGCCAAAACAAACACACGCACACATAAACTAACCAATAAGCAACCAATAAGCAATAACCTCCTCCACCTTCCCATAACAA